GGGAGAGGAGGAGGAAGAGAGGAGGAGGAGGGGAGGAGGGGAAGAAGAAGAGGAAGACAAGTCAGGGACAGACAGATGGATGGGCAGACTGTTCCTGGCCTAGGCCAACTTCAAAGCCAGATCCAGTCTGAAGTCTGACGAAAACAGCTAGTATTTGACATTCATCTTGTGCTGCACTGGGGAAGTGACACTGCCCAGATTGTGCCACATGGGTGGCACATCTTGTCCCTCAAGCTGGCAGGGTGGCCTGTTTCCCAGGTGGCCCTGCCGGCCACTTCCCTGAATCAGGCATGTGCAGTCGGCACAGGCTACAGAGCAGACAGTGCGAGGTCGGGTGTAGACGTGGCGCTGTGCCAGATACACTCAACGTAGACTGGGCCTCGGTATAGACCCTGCACCCCGCAGACACCGCCCTAGAGTTCCATCCTTGTGCTGCCAGGGGGCACTCCCATCAGAAAGAACCCCACAGCATTGTGCTTTTGGGGCGGGCTTTTTGTTTTTGAACCGGGGATTGAACTCAGCAAGTGCTTATTCAACTGCGCCAACTCCCTGGCCCCCAGCACCTAGGAGGCCGAGGCTACGTAGTGAATGCACAGCCAGCCTGAACTGCATACGGAGACCCTGTTTCAAAAAGATAAAAAATGAAGGGGGACAAAGAATAAAAAACTAATAATACAATAAAAAGTAAACAACAAATAATTTAACTACAATAGAGATTCTACAGTACAATCTACGGTTTGTTTCTGAGTCAGATTGAAAATATGGATCAGGTCTAGAATAAACTATTTTAAGAATGAGGAAAAAGGGGCTGGGGAGATGGCTCAGTGGTGTAAGCGCCTGCCTATCAAGCACAAGGTTCTCAGTTCCATCCTGGGTGCCAAAAAACATAGCATGGTCCAAAGCCCTGGGTTCAACCCTTGGTGACACACGGCCACGGCCACCGTGGCACAGACCTGTAGCCCAGCTCCGAGGGAGCAGGAGGATGGTGCAAGCCCGGAGTGACAGCCTCGGCAACAAAGGGAACCCCACCTACGGAACTCAGCCGCAAAGCAGAAAGAGAAGAAAGCAAAGCAACTTCCAGCCCCTTTCCTGAGTAGTGTCCTGAAGTTGCAAATTAAGGGAACTCTCGGTGTCTTCTCCCTGGTGGCCATGTGGTCCCAACCGTGAGCAGAAGTGGGGAGGGGTGACAGGTTTTCATGCAGTCACATTCTGGGAAGTTGCACTCAGACCCTGGGTGGCCCTCGTGGCCCTCTCGGGGAGCCTGAAAGGCCGGGGGCCACTTTGGCCCACCCAGCCAGGCTGCAAAGTGATATGAAGTTGTGTGAGTCGGAGACCCAGTACAGCCAGGCGTGGGGGAGCACAACTGTCATCCCAGCACTCAGGAGACTGAGGCAGGAGGGTCACCAGGAGTTCGAGGCCAGCCTGGGCTACATAGTGAGACACTGTCTCAAAAAAACAAAAAGCAAATGCACCAGACCTGAATCTACTCCCAACAAAGGCGATGGATGGCCCTTGACAGCATTGTTTGGTGAAAAAAGTCAGACCCTAAGGACAAACTCTGTAACACAGTGACCCTAGGTAACCCCGAGAGTTGCCAAGGTCACCACAAGCAAGGGACCAAGGGCAGAGGCACATGTGGCTGGATGGGGTAACTGCTCGGCACCACTGAGCCGCACTGAGCTGCACAAGAGGGGGTGCGTTTCGCATCGTGCGGATTTTACTATCACAGGCAAAGAGCATTAGCCATGACTGTGGGTGACAAAGCCCTGGCCCGGTGGGCAGGCTGAGGGCTGAATGAAGGTGACAGGCAACCTGGGGCCCTAATCAGCTCAGCTGGGGCGGATGGCATGGAGGGAGAGGAGAATGGATTAGGGGCAGCCTGACATCTGACCTCCCCACCCCCGTAAGCATGCGCCTGTCCAGGTGCAGGGACTCAGGGGACTCGGGGACTCCAGTGGGTGGGTGGCACTAAGCCGCTTTCGGCCAGTTGGGCCCTGATCGCCTGCTAGCCCCAATCCTCAATTAGCACCACTCCCACCTCCCAGCCTCCATCTCGGCCATCACAATCACCTGGCCAAGCTGGGTCTTCAGGGTGGGTTGGGGCTGCTGAACCCCCACTTGACGGACCCCCTCTGTCCCAAAGGGCCTGTGGGCAGGATGGGCAGTTTGTTGGCCTCGGGGTCCCAGGAGAAGTACAGTTTAAAAAAGCAGGGGACAGAAGGCCAAGGCAGGAGGGTCACAAGTTCCAGGCCAGCCTGAACTTCATAGAGACCGTCTCGCCCAGCAGAAAATAAAGGCAGTAGAGAATGCCCGTTGGTGGCTAAGCACGCAGCAGACCTGCCCGCCATCATGTAGAGTCTTCTCTCATCGGCCCCCCAAGTGGCTCCCTCAGCAAGAGGTGATTAGGAGTGGGGGGCTCCAGGTGGAGGAGCTGCTAAGCATCATTTCTGTAGATACGGTGATCATTCTTCGTTGGATAAAGCGATCATTTTATAGTTGATTTTTTTTTTTTTTTTTTTTTTTCCGGGAATTTAACTCAGGACCCTGCGCTTGCCAGGCAGGCGCTTATTCTACTGAGCCACCTCCCCAGCCCTATAGTTGACTTTTTGAGGAGCTGCCAAACTGTTTGCCATTGTGGCTGCGTCACTCACAATCTAATTTTTGATCATTTGGGGGGCAGGATACTGGGACTTGAACCCATGGCCTGATGCACGCCAAGCAAGCTGAGCTATATCCTTAGCCCTATTTTTTTTCTTTTATTGTGTTTGTTGTTTGTTTACTTATTTTTAGACAAGGTCTCACCTTGTAGTTCAGGCTGGCCTTGAACTCACAGCGATCCTCCTGCCTCAGCCTCCCGAGAGCTAGGATGGCAGGCATGCACTACCACCCCTGGCTTCCAGCCTTAATTTTCAAACATTTTCATCAGCCACAAGAATTTCCTGCACCCCACTAAGGACTCCTCCTCATGTCCCCATGTCCTCTCCTGCCTGTTGTGGCAGTGACTGCTCCATGGCTTTGGTGTCTGGCTTTGTTCGTTTAGCATCGTGCATTGAGATTTAGCCATAATGCAGCATGATCAGCTATTCCTTTTTCAAGGCTGACTAATATTCTGCCAGTGTTCAATTCCTGTTAATGGACTTGGGTTGTTTCTCCCTCATGGCCTCCTCTGAGTGGTACTGCTGTGGCTACCCATGTACAAGCTCTTGGGTGTCCCAGTGGCAAGACTGTGGCCTGGTGATCCTGGAAAAAGGTGCTCTGGAGCAGGTAGGAGAGGTGCCCACTGGCATGGCACACGTGCTCATAGGCCTCGCCCTGCCAGGTTTCCAAGAGAAGGGGGTCTGCCAGGCGAGGTGGTGCCTTCTCAAACCTGAGGCCGGCGGACTGACGCAAGTAAGGCCAGCCTGGGCTACATAGTGAGACTCAGTCAGTCTCAAAAAAAAAAAGCCAAAACCTAAAACAGGATGGTCCTGGGCCTGGGGCTGCCCCCCGCAGCACCCCACCCCAAGGGAACGGCAAGCCCTGGACACGGGCAGACGCACAAACAGAATGTGAGCCGGGGCAGGTGGGCTTCAAGCCTGGCCCTGCAAATCCTTCTGAGCTGCCTGCCCTTGCAGGCTGGCCTGAGGGGAGGTCAAAGTCTGGGCCCAATTAAGGGATCAGAGGGCGAAGAGTTTGGGAGCCCTGAGGTGAGGCCAGCTGAGCCCACGGGGGTATAAAGCACGCCGCTGATGCGGGCAGGGCCAGGGCCTTCCCAGCCATGGCTCAGCGCTGGGGCCCCCACGCGCTCACGGGTGCACAGGCGCAGGAGGACCCCGAGGACAGCACCCGGGCGAGTGTGTTCACCTATACCAACAGCAATGCCACCCGAGGTAAGTGGGCTCAGGGCCACCAACCACCCCTCCCCAGGGAGCCACCAAGAGCTGCCAGAATGGCAAGACATAAAACTGGACTTCGGCGCCCAAGCTATTAGCTTTTTATTCATTATTTATCTTGGTATTTTGAGTCAAGGTCTTCTTGCTATGCAGCCCAGGCCAGCTTTGAATCACTGTGTGGCCTTGAACTCATGGCCCATTGGGAAGATAGGCGTGTGCTGCCACACCCGGCCACATAGACTCAGCTTACGGATTTGTAAGCCACACAGCTTTGTCTGTGCAGGCTTTGGGAATCCGTCCCCAAAGAGCTCGCTGACTCTCTCCGCAGCCCCGGGGCTGCCTAGCACCTTAGGGATCCGTCTGCCTGCACTGGGCGTCCTGGACTCGTGTCCGAGGGGCTGGAGGCTGGAGGAGGTGTGTCGGAACTCCACTGGCCTCACGTGGGCGGTCCCCCACAGCTCCCTGTGCAAGTGACTACCTCGGCTTGTGGCCCTGGCACCCCGGTGGCCCAGGCCCAGCAGGGGCAGAGGTCCTGTTTCTCGTCGGTGCCGCACCGGGAGAAGGGCTGCAGCCCTCTCTGCACTTCTTTGTTCCATAACCGTGTTGCAGCTTCCAGTGGAGTCTCCTTCGTCCCCACTGGGAGAATATTCTGGGACAGAGACACCACTGCTGCCCAGAACACATTACCCTGAACCTGGCATCTGTCCAGGCCACTAGTGAGACGGCCACCACCCTTCATGACACGATCACGCTTCGGGGTGGCTCGGCTCTTGGCACTCGGGGATGTGAACTCAAAAGCTCCCGCGCAGGGCCGCAGGCGGCAGCGCGAGGCTGTGCAGTGGCCCCCAGGACCAGGGGAGGCAGAGGCCTCGCCTCCCAGCATCCGCAGCCTCTGAGCACTGGTTCGAGGGCTTCTGTACCCCAGAGTGGGTAGCCGGGGAGAGGATGCAGGTGGAGCAGCTGGCTGGGCAGGATCAGGGTGCCACACAGGGATTCTGTCCCCCAATCACAGGCCCCTTCGAAGGCCCCAACTTCCACATCGCACCCAGGTGGGTGTACCACCTCGCCAGCGCCTGGATGGTCATTGTGGTCATCGCGTCTGTCTTTACCAACGGGCTTGTACTGGTGGCCACCATGCGCTTCAAGAAGCTGCGCCACCCCCTGAACTGGATCCTGGTGAACCTGGCGGTCGCTGACCTAGCAGAGACACTCATTGCCAGCACCATCAGTGTTGTGAACCAGGTGTACGGCTACTTTGTGCTGGGCTACCCGCTATGTGTCGTGGAAGGCTACACCGTCTCCCTGTGTGGTAAGATGGGCTGGGTGGCCCCGTGCCTGTGCCTCAGGTCTATCGGGGTCGAGGTCACAGGGGGACCACAGGCCCAAGGGTTCCACAGGCTTCCGACTGCACACTGCTTTATTTATTTATTTATTTTTGAGACACGGTCTCACTATGTAACGCAGGCTGGCCTTGAGCTCACTGTGCAGCTCAGGCTGGCCTCGAACTTGCGGCGATCCTCGTGCCTCAGCCTTGCAAGTGGTGGGTTAACATGTGCAGCACCATGCCCGGCTCCTCACAAGTCTTTGGCCGGTTCAGCAGTTGAACAGCTACCAACTCTGCCCAAATTTCTGTGCCACAGATATCTTTGGTCTTCCAGGAATATTTCAAATGCAAACAATGAGATCCATAGAGTCACAAAGGCAGCCGATTATTTTGAAAAACAGTTACCAAAGAAAGAATAGTTGTTGTTGTTACTGTTTTTGAGACAAGGTCTCACTATGTAATCCAGACTGCTCTCAAATTGTGGAGACCCTCTTGCCTCAGCCTCCCAAGTGCTGGGATTACAGGTGTGTGCCACCTCACCTGTCTCTAAGATTATTATTATTCTTTTTGCGGAACCGGGGCTTGAACTCAGACCTTTGCGCTTGCCGGGGAAGCGCTCATTCCACTGAGCCATCTCCCCGGCCCTTATTATTAATAATAATAATGAATAATTTTCCACAAAAGCAGATCCTGTCACCCAAAAATCCCCCCTCCCCCCAAAAAAATCTTAGTGTTAAAAGTATTTATTAGAAACATGAGTGACACCACAGAATTTCAGTGTAGTGAAGACAGTGGGTGAGACTGCAAAGTCGCCCCCTCTAGAAAGGGATATGAACACCATGCTTCCCCGAGTGGCCCTGTGAGGGGAGCCAGGGAGCCTGGAAGGACCCATCCTGAGAATGCTCTGATGGGCCGCAGGGCCGCCCAGCTCCAAGCTCTGCAGGACGCCGCAACCCAGACTTCCCAGACTCCAGAGAGCTCCTGAGACTGAGTGGGGAGGAGGAGGGACGGAGCTATGGGGTCAGAGGTGAGGCCCGGGGCCTGCACTGAAGTGGCCCGGTAGGAAAGGACTCACCTCGGACGCTGTCCTACCCTGCTGCTGTGGGAGCTATTCCCCCTCTGCTTGGGCTCCAAGGCCCTGCTGCTGTCCCCGCAGGCATCACAGGCCTCTGGTCCCTGGCCATCATCTCCTGGGAGAGGTGGCTGGTGGTGTGCAAGCCCTTTGGCAACGTAAGGTTTGACGCCAAGCTGGCCATAGCGGGCATCGTGTTCTCCTGGGTCTGGTCTGCGGTGTGGACGGCCCCACCCATCTTCGGCTGGAGCAGGTAAGAGCGCCAGGGTGCTGGCGGGTGACCTCATGTGCGGTGTGTGGCTGTTGGGATTCTGGCCTCCTGGCCCAGCTGGCACTCAGGGGAACACCCAAATGTTTCAGTGGTGTGGCAGTGACTGAATGAGGTGGCACCTCACCTTCCCTCCGAAAGGAAGGGGGCCCCAGAGTGCCAAAAGCATCTCGGAAGCAGAAAGTGGCGATAGCTGTGACAAATGCTATGAAAATACAGAATGTCACCATGATAAATTGCATGCTATGTGTATTTTACCCATACAAAACCAGGCACGGCAGTGCACACCTGTGATCCCAGCACTCTGGGAGGCCTAGGCAGGATTGCAAGTTCAAACCCAGCCTGGGCACCTTGGCAATTTAGTGAGACCCTGTCTCAAATGAAAAATTACAAAAGGGCTGGGAATGCAGCTCAGTGTGAAGGCCCTGAGATCCATTTTCACTTGGGGAGACAAAGAATTATCAAAGGTCATACCCAAGGGCTCTTCTGGCATGGGGAAAGTATTCTGGGGACCGAGGCAGTGACCATGCGCCCTGCACCTCAGCCAAGTCCTCCCCACCTCCAATGGGTGGATGGCCACACTCTCCGCAGGTATTGGCCCTATGGTCTGAAGACGTCCTGTGGCCCCGATGTGTTCAGCGGCACCTCGTACCCCGGCGTGCAGTCCTACATGATGGTGCTCATGGTCACCTGCTGCATCATCCCCCTTACCATCATCGTGCTGTGCTACCTGCACGTGTGGCTGGCCATCCGGGCGGTGAGGCCCAGCTGTCCCTGCCCCGCCACAAAGTGTCCAGCCAGAGATGGGCAGGGTGGGAGGATTGTCCCTGCTTCCTGGGGGACCCCAGGAGTCAGAGATTACCTCTCCCACAGACTAGTGCCCCAGAGCACCCCTGTCCCCAGCCACTCCCTTCAGCCACATGGAAGAGGGGGGCTGGGTATCCTCCAGCGGTTTTAAGTGTCCCTTGGCCAGCCAACCCCCATGGCACTTGCTGCTCTCCATGTGAACCGTGGGGACCCTGCCCACAATTACCTGGTCTTGAGCCAGGCCCCACCTAGCTGGTGCCCAGGCACCTGGCCTTGCAGGCCTCCTCCCCTCCACATGGCTGGGTGCCCCAACCTCCTCCCCGCAGGTGGCCACCACTGGCCACAGAGCTGGAAGCGTGGTATCCTATCCAGCTCCGTGCCAGGCCATCTTAGTCAGAGTTGCCTCGCCCTGCTTCCCACCGAGTCTGTGCTCCTGCCTGTCCTCGTGCTCCGTGTGTGTGTGTGTGTGTGTGTGTGTGTGAACACCCCAAGCACACCTGGCAAGTGTTCCACCATGCCATGACATCCCAGCAGCATGCTAAGAGCAGAGGAGCAGGGCAGGTGACACCGGCAAGGGCCAGAGGTGGCAAAGGGTTTCTTGGGCCTGGCTCTGAGGCCTGCCCTGTGGACCCCTCTATAACCATGGGTGGGAGCTGGCAGTTCCTATGGCCTGGAGACTCAAGAAGCAGAATCCTGGGCCTGTCCCCACTCAGTGGCCCTGCTCCCACAGGTGGCGAAGCAGCAGAAAGAGTCTGAGTCTACCCAGAAGGCCGAGAAAGAGGTGACCCGCATGGTGGTGGTCATGGTCCTTGCCTACTGCCTCTGCTGGGGGCCCTACGCCTTCTTTGCATGTTTTGCCACTGCTCACCCTGGCTATGCATTTCACCCTCTGGTGGCTGCCCTGCCATCCTACTTTGCCAAAAGTGCCACAATCTACAACCCCATCATCTACGTCTTCATGAACCGGCAGGTAAGCAAAGTCAGAATGCCGAGGAGCCCAGTGCAGCACTCTCAGAGCCCACCCAGGGGACCGGGCAGCCAAGGGCTCAGCCACTTTGGGAGCATCCTGCTCCCAGCTCTTCCTGCTCCAGCCTATGGGGGTTCTCCCCTTCCTGACTGCCATCTTCACATGGGGCATAGGGCCGGCTGAATCTTAGGAACCCGGAGCTACCCTGGTCGCCGTACCTCCTGCTCCTTCCTGCCCCTCTTCCAGCAGCCCCTTCAGGATGACTTGTGCGCTGCTGGGGGCGGCACACTTCCCCAGGGTCTCCTCCGCTCTAGTGTTACCCCATCTTGCCTCGGGCAGAGGGAAGTTTCTGGTATGGGTGTCCACCAGGACATGGAATTTTTTTCTGGCTGTTTGTGGCTGTGGCCCAGAATGCAGAGCCTGGCACAGTGTGAGTGCTGGGTGAGTCAGTGCTGGCTGAATTTGGAGACTGAGCTCCTCAGCCGTATGTGCTGTCCCCCTGGTAGTCCACTGCTCGTGGCCCCCAGGCTGGTGCCCTTCCCCGTGGAGCATCTGGGGGATAGGAGGAGCTGAAGGCCGCCAGAAACCGGCTGACATATGGAGACACTGTTCTGCCACGGTGTTCAAAGCTCTCTTGGCTGAGAAAAGAACGGGCCTAGAGGTCTCACAAAGGGTCACAAATAAAGTAGACCCTGCTGGTGCAGGAAGAAGAAAAGGAGGTGGCTACTGTGTCCCTGACCCAGTCCTTACCTCGAGCCCAGTCATACCCTTGTTGCCTAGAATGCCTCGAAGTACTGGGTATGCTTTGCATGCCAATAGCCAGCTACTTGGGAGGCTGAGGCAGGAGGGTGGCGATCACCAGGGCGGTCACTCTGTCTCAGTGTTGTAAGAGGGCCGGGGTGGAGCTCAGCCGTAGAGCAATGGCCTTGCATGAGGGAGCCCTAGGTTCGACCCCCATGACCACTAGTGCTGGCAGATGGCCTTTGAGCCTCTAGGCGGACATCTGGTTTTCTTTGTTTTGTTGTTTTTGTTTTGTCTTTTTGAGACAGGGTCTCACTATGCAGTCCAAGCTGGTCTTGAGCTCACTTTGTAGCCCAGGCTGGTCTCGAACTCACAACAATCCTCCTGCCTCAGCCTCCTGAGTGTTGGGACTACAAGCATGCACCACCAGGCCCAGCTTCTAGACAGACATCTGGCACCACGTTTGCATGCTGTGTGGCTGGCCTGGGGGCCCACGGAGAAATGCTGCAAACTGAGAGCCCAACCCCTCCCAGTCCTCCTCCTAGGTTTGGTTTCAGGGTCCTCCACCAGCCCCACACCTATCCTCGTGGCCGGAGCTTGGGGCAAACCTGGTGTTCCATGTCTCTGTCTCTTCCCTCCATGCCTGGGTCACGGCACCTGGTCTCCTCTCCCCAGAACAGGAAAGCCTCAGGTTTTATGGCCCTGGGGGTCAAACCCAGAAATGCTGTGTCACTGAGCTCTGCCCCCAACCCTTGCTATTCTTTATTTTGAGAGCCTTGCTACCCAGATTGGCCCCAAAATTGCAATCCTTCCACCTCAGCCTCCCAAGATACCTTAACATAGACTATTTCTATATGAGGCCACGCTCTCAGCTTCCAGTGGCTAGGACCTGAACACAATTTAGGGGACACAATTCCGTCCATAGCATCCACCATCCACTGCTGAGTTCAGTGATACAAATGACCATCCTGTGTACACGGAACAAGCTGACCCTTCCTCACCCCACAGACAGACATGGGAGGAGGAGGAGGAAAGGCAGTCAGTCACCCAGGTGACACTAGGGATGTCCTAAACCTTGCTTTCCACACAGTGGCCTAGACCTGCCTACTGTGCTGAGTGACACTTTCTGTCCTTCCAGTTTCGAAACTGCATCTTGCAGCTTTTTGGGAAGAAGGTTGAAGACAGCTCCGAACTCTCCAGCACCTCCAAAACAGAGGCCTCCTCTGTGTCTTCAGTGTCCCCTGCATGAGGGCTGCCTCCCACCTGCCCGCCATGGCTCTGGCCACCTCTTCCCCTTTCTTCTGTCCCTGTGAAATAAACGGAATTGCTCTTTGCCAGAACCAAACACGTCACAGGCTGCCACCACCGCATGGGGCCCTGAGCCCTTGCATACTGGCACTGGGTCTCTAGAGGGGTGAGGGAAGCAGAGAGCAGTTTGATTGGACTTTAATCTCCCCGAGTTCCATGCTTCCAGGTGACAACACGGAAAGGAAGTGCAAGGCAGGCTGGTGTCCACTGGTGATTAGGGAATCAGGAAGGGACAGCAGGAGGAGGGAGGGGACTGGCAACCTCAGGCAGGTGGCACTCTGGCCCCATGAGGTCCTCCTGACAAAGGCCTGGTATTCTTGGCATCCAGCCTCCACCTGGAAGGGATCCACACCTGCCAATCTGCAGTGGCAGTGGTGTGTAGCTTCTGCCAGGCCAGAGCCCCCAGCACAAGCAGCACAAGCATGGTGCACATGCGCAGACGCCTGTTGGCCCAGGGCAGTGGGCAGGAGCATACGGTGGACACACACGCCAGGACGGCACAAGCGAGGACCAGTAGCAGGCTCATGAACCGGAGCAGAAGCTCCCCAGGTTGGCTCCAAAGCCTCGCTGTCACCTCCACCTGGACAGCTTGCTGCAGGGCCTCCAGCGTGGCCAGCCGACTCTTGAAAGTCTCCATGACCTCCTGTAGGTGGCAAACATACACACACACACACACGCACGCACGCACACACGCATGCATGCACACACACACAAAGCCTGCCCAGTACATCACGGACTGAGAGCCCAGATGCTTGGGGGCCAGCCAAGGGCAGGAGGAGGGGGCAAGAGGCCAGGACAAGGCGAGAGGGCTTGGAGGCCCTCCCTGCACCAGCAGCACCAGTGTCCCACTCAGGAATGACAGTTCCCACCCCAGCTCTTCAGGCCACAGGCTCTGCTCTCCCACAGCAGCCAAGCTAGAAGGCACTGCCCTGGGCACAGAGAGGGTATCCTGCAACAGCAAAGGTTCCAGCCCCAGGGGTGATGGGGAGGGGTCCTCTCACCCATGTTTCCTTGGCCCGCTCATACGACAGGTAGGCCATCTTCTCCTCTACATAGGTCAGGCCCTGCTGGAAGCGGTAAATCTCATCCCGATGCCTCTGCAGGTGGCCGTCCACCTGTTCCTCCACCAGTGTGTGTCTCAGGAGCAAGAGAGACAAGAACACACTCAGGACCTTGGGCTATTCCTGCATCGTGGGTAGCCTGCCTCCTATCCTCTTCAACTGGGCCCCATCAGAGAGGCCACCTCCTGTGGGCCGTCAGGATACCCCAGGCACATGTCAGTCACAAGCACACTGTCAGCTCTGCCCTCTATGTAGGATCTCTATAGTAACTGTGTTGCAGGACTTCACCGTGGGTGCTAGCGACAATCACCTCTGGAGCATGGCATTTCTTCCATGGAAGACAACAATGTCCAGAACTGAGACAGACAGATGCGAAGCATGGGGCTGGGGCAGGGCAGGGTGGAGCGGGGCTGCTATTGCTCTTCGGGCTCTTTGGGAAGCAAGGAGCCAGCAGGGCTGGCTAAACAACTCTGGGAATCCACTAACACCCACTGGATTGTACCTTCAAATGGACGAGACTGATAGGGCATGAGTTATACCTCCATACAGCTGTTACCGAAACAAAACAAAAAATTGAGTCGTAGTTATGGTTGCATAGTTCAATATGTTTAATAAAAAACACCAAAATGCAGTTAGCATGGTGTATTTTATGACATGCAAATTGTATCTCAGGGGCTGGTGAGATGGCTCAGTGGTCTAAAGCACCTACTTAGAACAAGCTTAGCAAAGCACAGGGACCGCGGTTCAATCCCCCAGCACCAC